GGGGAATGCACCCCTGGACCTATCCTGAGCTCTTTCTCACCAGATGTCCAATTTCAACTTGACTTCATGGTGCAGAGAGAAATGAATCAACATTTTAAATGAGTTATTAGCTTATGTTATTTTACAAAACAAAATATTGGATACATTATAGGGCTGAACTGTTAAAGCTATATTTTCAGCTGCTCTGTGTCAGACACCTCTCTAACTGGCCAGAACATTGTACAGAATCTGACTTCAGAGTATGGTGCAACTTATTATTAGCCCTAATATATTTATACATTAGTAATATATATATAGCCCCAAATTCTGGCTAGCTAACCCAGCAATGCAGTGTTTGGGGGAGAAAGAAGGGCCAAGGGAATGGATACAACTCTGATACTCAGTGTTTAAGCCAAGCTTGGTACCACAAAGGCAAGTAACTGTCTAAAAATTAGTATCATCCTGCTAGCTTTCTTCATTTCTAAAATACATTGTTCAAATCATTATCAATGAACTAAACATGAACCTTAATTTAAAACTCTAACCCAAATAAATTATAATGAAACAATAGAAGAGGGGAGGATTAGGAAAGGAGAAGGTGACTTCCTGTTCAAATTCCTCGCTTTTTAAAAATAAAAAGTGAAGGAGAAACTTCATAGGCAGAGCATCTCAGTGTTACTTGGGATAGCATGACCATGACCATGATAAGCACAAGATCCTGTGCTTTAGCAAAACAATAGGCCTTTGATGTTTTCTCCGTTCCTTTCTTCTCCATAGAGAAAAGCAGCCACCAGGCTCTTTTGATATCCACATATGTGTGACTTTGGGTAAATGATTTCCCCTCACAGGCTTTTCAGTTTCATCATGTATAAATGGTAAAAGTTGTGAATGAAATGGTCTTCCTTCTACATTCCAAATTCTTCATTTGCTAGATGTATGAAGTGTTGTAATGGATATGGGCGCTTTCTGAGTCTAATTATCTGACTACCAAGATTTTGCAGAGCCATTCTAGGATCAGCCATTGCATGGATCTCAGTTTTCTTATTACCAGAGCCAAAGAGTTTTCTTTTAAGAATAGAAAAGGAGAAGAATACTATGTATATATTTATTTCTGAAGAGATATATGATTTTAAGAGCTCATTCAAAATAGTACTTTATTTTGAGGGACCAGGAGTACAGCCCAGTGGTAGAGCATGTGCAAGGCCCTCGCTTCAATCCCCAGCATTAAAAATATTTTTATTTTGAAATAATTTTGGACTTACAGAAAAATTGCAAAAATAATACGTCAGGTCTTAGGATATCCTTCACCCAGATTTCCTTACTGACAATCATAACACATTTACTCAAATCAGGAAGAAAATTCTTAAACTAGAGGTCCTATTTTAATTTCACCAGTTTTCTCCCTAGTGTCTGTGACCATGACACTAGGAAGAAAACTGGTGAAATTCAAATAAAGTCCATAGCTTAGCACAGAGCTTTGCATAGTATAACTTCCTACTGTTGATAACTGTGCTATGCTACGTATTGTATGTAAGTTCTTAAGATTAGGGGAATACGGGTGAAGAATATACAGGAACTGGCACCTCTGTTTTTACAACTCTTCTGTAAATCTAAAGTTAGTTCAAAAGAAAAAGTGAGGCTAAACTACTAATATAGATTTATTTGACTTCTAATTACAACTATATTTTTCTTTCCAAAGTAGGTTTTGAAATGTCTAAAATAGCACAAACTTTTACCAGCAAAACATACTTCCTTTTTCAGGTCACTGGCATCGAGGTTAGAGATCCTGACTCTCAGGCTGACACATGTTGCCTCTGTGTCTCCATAGTACCTCTAGGTTCCTCTAATGGGGTCTATAAATGGTGCTAAATATATACAATCTGAAAAGCATCGGGATTATGTTGCCAGGAGTTTAACTTTTGGTAAACTTTCCTTTAACAAACAGGGAGAGTAATATTTAATCAGAAATAGTCAAATTTTAAATTAGTGAAAACTGCTGTGACTAGTGATGCTAATAGACAGTATATTAGTATCTAGGTCCAATTTTAGCTACAAAGATAGATTGATATCCACATGCATATGTGACAAATTTCACTTGCAAAGATAGTCTTATCATTATGATAGTATGCGATATTTGAGGACACAATGTAGGTTGTTTTAAGTGCCTTTTTCCAGTTCCTGTCTCTTAGGAATGTATATGGCTTGACATGACCTTGTTCTGACTATGCCTGGGATATGGACTTCACCAGGAAAGAACTGTTATAAAACTACCCAAAGTGGTGAGTACAGTAGGCAGATGTGATGGGTATGGATCTGTCATAATGAATAATAACTATTTATATCCTTTCGGAATAATATGTGACTGCTTTCACACATCACTTCTAGTCTGGAGTACAAGGTGTAAGACATCATGATATTATTGAAGCAGAATAACCTGTCTCTGCGAACAATTGCAAGATTGACTTAATTTTAAAGGTGACTGACCTTTGTTAAAACCAAGGGATGTTCACTAAAGATACCAATCTAGATAAATAGCAAACTATAATATCAAGAAATTGGCATAAAAAGATTATCTTATATTTTGAAGGGAACTTTTGAAATAAATTGTGCCAAGCAGACAAGGCAACTGAGTCAAAAACAGCCACGCAGCAATATGACACAAGATTCTTCTATATAGTTGGAAATTAATCTACCAGCTGCAGTCTTTAGATTTCTATCAGAAGATAGTGTAGCCTTCATCATTCCATATTTAAAATTCATGGAGAAATGGGCACAACACTTCAGCACAGTGCACAATCAGCTATCTGCCTCACCCTTCTTATTTTCCTAACATTTCCTCATTATGAGGTGAGTATAGGACACTGTGTCTATTGTACCTATTATAAAGGCAAAGAATCATCATCTGGTAGAGTAGCTAATGCTAATGGAATTCTTACAAAAATAAAACAAAACAAAAAACAAAAGCTGCAACCCAAAACTCATCAAATGATTGCTTTAGTTATTTGAACACTAGTGGAAGAAACGGCACACAGATGAATTTCAATGGTGTTTCAATTATACAAACTCAAGAGAGGTAGCAAATGCTGCAGCAACCGTTAAGGCATGTTCTTTGTGTATTACAGATATGACAGGCGTACAATCCTCATAGGTCAATTACCCTCAACTTAGTATAGCTTTCATGCATATCATAGATGAAAAATAATACAAAAGAGAAGTATAAAGCTTTTGTGCAGACACAAAATTCTGATAATGTGCTATCTAAATGGCAAATTAAGTAATTGTTTGAAAAGCTTTGTATATTTGAAATATTAAGGTTTTTATTAAAAATTTGAGAATGTGGGGATTATGCATATCTTCTTTATCCTGTGTGACTGGTCATCATTATTAACATAATGCACAAATTATTTTTTAGAAACATGAGATTCAGTAAGCAGACAGTTTATTTACATAATTAAGTGGCTTATTTGTATTCATTAGCCATTACCTATTTTGTCTCTGAATTAAACATTTTCTAAGCTTTAAAGTGCAGTATACATTTTAGAAATAATCATCTTCTATACTAGTTTCTTCAAAGTATTTTGTTCATGGTACTTGTTTGTCTTTAAATGTCAACGCTAACCTAAAGTATATGGCATCATATAGATGTTAAACCTCTCATGAACAAGAACAATAAATCCAACTTTTTAAGCATATGTTGAGCATCCCTAGTCTGAAAACCCAAAGTTCTACACCTGGAACCTTCTGAATGCTTGACATGAAGCCAGAAGTGGAAAATTCCACACCTGAGCTTACTGACAAGTCACAGGAAAATGCGGGTACACTAACATATTACATAAAGTTACATTCTGATCATGTGTATAAAGAGTATATGAAACAAATTAATTTCATATTTAGACTTCAGTCCCATCCCCAAGATATCTCATTTGTTTATATGGAAATACTTCAAAAATCTGAAAAGTTCCGATAGCTGAAGCACATCTGGTCCTAAGAATTTCAGCAAAGGGACACTCAACCTGTAGTTTAGTATCTGGGAAAATGTTTTTCTTAGAAAGCTATTACACAAACCAATATAGTCATAAATAAAATTGTTAAGAAGGGAAATCTGGTCATGATGATTTAAAATATTATCAATAACTCAAAAGGGCTCTCGGGCTTAATTCATTTTGATACATTCTGAAAAAAATCTTAAATGTATCATAGCAAATCTTATTAATTAAATCAAAACCATTACTATTTTTGCTTCTGTGTTTATTTGTACATCTTTACCCTTAGTTTAAGGATAACTATGAATGAAATATGAAACATGAAAATCAGTGCATTTTTGTACTACAAACATATATTTCCAATTCTCCACAATACTTCAGATGTCCACATATTCTATTTATACTCTAGCACATAACATTCAAGTTTTACACCCTTAGCAATAGGACTTTCTTTGCAAAATGCAAGCACAAGTCTTAAGTTGGTCAATCAGATGTTCGAGAAGAAAATTAAGTGAACTTAGTTTTGCAATGATGTATTTAGGTTAAAGGTTCAAACTATACTTTCACTAAAAATGTTTTAAATGCTATAATTTTCCTCCTAAATGATAAGATGTTCTCCTGGTACTTTCTCAGTCTGACTTTGTTTATCTTCTGAAAGCTGGTTGATCCTTCCTCAGTGTATTTTGATAGTATGGATAATAACAAATACCATAATTCAGTGAAAGGATTCTCTAGGTTATAAGAAGATTTTGATTATTGAATTCAATACCTAAATCTTATACCAAAAGATAAACTATAGCAAGACTGCTGCAATTGCTCACTCCTCCAAGCATTCTTAAATTTTTATTCTTGAAGTGTATCTATCTTTATAAGTGGGCTTTGACGGGGTGAGGATTAGACTGGTGCAGTTCTACAAAGTCTACATGCTGCCTTACAAAATGAAACTTACCAATTTCAAGCTGTCATAAATTTTACTCATTTCACAGCATATCGCAGAAACCAACAAATTAAAATTCCGTGCATTCGGACGGTGCTCACCTTTAGAGAATCAAAACAGGCCACCACACGACCGTTTTCCACATGGCAAACTCTTGGCGGGTGGGCAAACTTGCAGTCTGCATCACCTCGAGAGCAAGTGCCTCTCTGAAATTCTCTGCAGACCTCTAAAGTCAGCCACTTGGCATCACGAATCAGGGCAACATTGACGGCCGTCATATTGTAAGCAAAGTGCAAATCAAGTGCACACTTTTTAGGATGGTATCACTCTTGTTTGTGAGAGGATTAAAGTGAATTTGAGCTCAACGCAAAGAGATAGCAGGTTGCTTTGGTGGAATGGCTATTCGTTAGCACTTAGGTTTTCACTTCAGTCAAATCCAATCTGATCCAAGAAAGTCTCTCACAGAAATCAAAGTTATATCAGAATAACTAAAATTAAAATTAGAGACCAACTCCTAAGAAGGTAGCTGTAATGGTTGAGATGGTTTATTTTCTTAATTTACGAAATTTGCTCAGATAACTGGTGGACTTTCAGAAGAATTCTGTACAAACTAATTGATGATTTCAAAAATAATTTGCTGCTGGAGGCTCCTCAAATAGTACAATGGTCTCAGATCAGGGAGAAAAAAGTTTTTTCCCTATATCTTAGCTTCTTTTTATATAAAGAGTAAGACTAGGGAGGCTGTTTCACCCAAAAAAGTTTTGCTGCAAAATCAAGGGGAGGAAAAATGGTTGCAAAAATTAAAAATCACAGAAAAAATAATGCACAGGTTACTGACAGTGAACTACAAGCCCAGCAGGCTTCTTAGGGACAGGCGGCAGGGACAGGAATGACGGGCAGAGGGGTTGGTAAAGAGAGTTCTAGAGTCGAATCCAGGCAGCAGAGTTTTCAGAAAAGACGCTTTTCAAAACCTGCAAGAAGAAAAAAATGAAATTAGCTAAAATACTACAATGCTTCCTTTCCAAACTCTAGATTTAGAAAGAAAACTAATCATATCCTATATAAAACAGAAAGCATCTATGTACTGACAGTACCACATAGTATGTGCAGTCAGCTATCGTCAGTAAAGAGGGCATTTTCCAGTGTAAAACTGTACATAGTAAAAAGAAGCAACGGCTTAGATCTGCTTTTGAACTACAAAACTGAGTAACAACCCACTTTTCAAAATGATTGTATATACTTTTTCCTGTTTAGGGTAGGATTTCATGTTTGTGTTCACTGTGCAGAAAAATGGCACGTCAATGATGGTGAACCTTTTAGGGCTTTCAACAAGGACAAACAGACAACTGTGGCACCCGTGCCATAGGTTTGCCACACCTGGCAGAGTTTAACATGACAGCCCCTTATGCATTCACAGTCCACTTATGTGTGTCCAGGTTTTAGAGGCTACCAATGACCTGTCTTTCAACTAACCTTATTAGGGCCTGATGAAAGGTTAGATTATTTGATTTCAAAATCTAGAAATCAGGAATTGGTCTGAAATTTTAAGTTCTTCGAAGAGGCAACTTGTGTATTGGAAATGTAATCACCAATAATCTCATGAGACAGTTATGGCAGGACCAGCTGGAGACTCACTGCATATGAGGTAGGGTGGAGGATGGAAGTATACAGTGTGCTGCAGATAAAAAATAAGTCTTTGAAAAGAGCCTGGATTGTCGTTTTCTCCCCTACCCCTGGTCTGCTTCTAAGTCTCTATGAAGAGAAACAGGAGCAACCTGGGAGATGTCGGCATATACAAATAAGTAAGACAGGAAGAACGGTTTTGTAATACATTAAATATTGTGGAGCTTTAGGGTTTTCAGTTTAACCCAGTATCAACAGCATCGTCAAGCAACTCAACTGAGAAGATCCATTAATGTTAATTCATAGGCCATATAACATAAACTCATACCAGAATAACAATAAGGCAAAAGTAACTTCTGAGTATTGGTCACATCAGCTAATTGCTAATGCTATCAAAAAGTGGTATGGAAATTCTTGAAAATATTTTATTTTCAAACAATATGTGCAATAACTTTACAGCGTCTTTCTTTTCTATACTGAAGAGGAAATGCGTTATCAACTGACTTTTCAGATATATCTGGGAAATTAATTACCTGGAAAATTCAAAACTTATCTATTCAAGAACAAGACACGTTCTCGGAATCATTCCTTATGAAAATCTGTCTAAATTATATTCTAAGTAGCTTTGCCTTCTTGAAGCATACTGAAGGTAAGCTAGACTCTGGGTAAAGACTTGGGACTATTAACATCTTGGCAAGTATTATAGTTCTACTTCTTCAGTGGCTTTTGGCAGTAAATGCTGTCACTTCTCTTACTGCCACAATATCTGCCGCCATGAATTTTCTCAAAATCACACAACTCTTCATCACTTTCATAAATATCCCTGAGTTGTGCTAAGCCAACATCTGTCCAGTACCTACTATGTACCAGACTCTGTTCTAGACAGTGAACAGCACTGATCTTCACCTGCTTTTGTAGAACTTCTTATGTTCGTTTAAATGGAGATGTAACCTAAAGTACAAAGAAGTAGAATAGTGGCTAGCATTTTGGAGGGGCTGGAAGTAGACAGAAGGTACTGACTTCAACACAAGCCTCTAACTCACCATCAATGAACAACAAGTACAAAGACTTAATACCCATAAACCCACACTAAAGTGAGCCATTGAGGTAAATGCCTCTTAATTATTGTTGTTCGGATCCCTCTGGGAGAGGATACTACTGTTCTCATCTTACAGATGGGGTAATGGGTGTAGAAGAAAGGTTAAGTAATTTAAGTCGCACAACTTCATGTAGCTAATAGGTGATCAAGCCATTGTTCCAACGAGGCAGTGTGACTCCAGAGCCCATCCTCTTAACAAGTGCACAATACTGTGTCTCTCGTAGGGTGCGGATCACATTCTTGCTCATTCTAGCTGACTGGCCTCCTTAAGTTTACTCTGTTCTTAGACTGTAAATTCCTCATGAGTAAACATCATATCTAACTCAGCTCTATCTTGTCTTTGTCCTTGGAGGTTAAAGTGTTACAGAAGTCCCCAGGATTCCTGTTTTGAAAAGTATTAAGTCTAAATGGTAATTTAATGTGAACCCTTTTTTTGTACAATACTAGAAGGGAATTCTGTGACTGAACACTCCTCAAGGCTGTAGCTGAATTATGGCCACCCCTCCAGGTTTCGAGTCCATTGGACCTATCAAGTTGAGAATTTTTGAACAATTCCAGCCTCCAAATTGGAATGATACTACCTGAGACTCTTGTATATTCAATCCCCATTAATGAATATTCCACTCCTGTTCATTTGATAGCAGCAAGATCTTTAAAAATTGGAACACCCACGTGATCCCTGTCTACATCCTTGGGTAGTCCTTGGAGTGTCTCTACCCAACAGTGAGTGTGATTAAATCAAACTGGTAGTGACAGTGAGGGTGGGAGAGATTTCACTTTGAGCTGTAAAGGAACATTTCCTAGGTATTCTTTCTTGAAAATAAAAAAGTTAGTATTTACTTTTAATCAAGTCTCATTTATCAAACTCCTAGATAAAACATGATATATAGCAACTACAAATACTTAAAATTGCACACACTAGTATAGAATCACTATGGAGTGCAATCTTTGAGAAATGAGGACTGTGGGGTTTTTTTTTGATGATTCACATCTTTCTTCACAGAAGTTATATTGTAGGTAAGACAAAATCATAAAGAAATATTTTCTACTTATCTAATGGAAATGGAAACTAGTTACAGAGCTGCTTGCAAAGTCAGTTCCAGCAACTACTTTTGTTCCATTTTCCTACACTTTCCCTGTCTCCTCCTTCCTTCTGACTTCTCTCCACAAGCCAGCACAATATCATAAAAATGCAGCCAATGCATGGTTGGGCAGACGACAAAAATATTTGGTACCCAAACCAATAGCTGAAGAAACATTCCTTTCAATGTATCTATGAAAATCTTGAAAAAAATTGAAAACAACTCTTTTCTTCCTCTTTTTCTTTTTTCTCTTTTCTTTCTTTTTCTTTTTCTTTCTCTCTTTCTTTCTGTCTTTCTTTCTTCCTTTCTTTCTTTCTGTCTTTTCTTGCTTGCTTGCTTTCTATTTTAAGCTGCCCTTAACACCTATATTACCTCCAAATTTCTTGTGGCCATTTATTTTGGCTTTACAAACACACGATGCACCTGCCACTCCTGTGTGAACTGGCAAGTTACAGGATTTAAAAGCCTTCACCAGTCTTCAAATTTATTTCAGGTTCTAGTGTCTTCCTGTTTGGGGGCTAAAATACCACCACCACATATTCTGGAAGGCATAGGAGAGGTGTTCAGCACTGCATATGGATACCATGGTTTCATAGGCATTCTACAGAAAACTTGAGTCTTTTGACGAAAAATGGCCATAAAAATGCAGCTACTTGCCTATGTGTAGAACTTTTCTATTAAGCTTTTTAAAGCTTTGCTGCATTTTTTTCACAGTAATCTTGGGACAATAAATTTCATATATTTTTTCAAACAGCAGGTATGTCACAGTATTCTATTTTCTAAAGCAATTAAATAGCTTTCTTCAGTTCAGTCATACCTTTCAAGAAAGGTAGGTGCTACAGTGTCTGTTTTCAACATAGCTGTGGTAATGGATACTCCTGGTTTTGTCAAAGGAGTTCATTTTTTTAAAGGTTTGTCTATTTTTTGATAATATATAGGATTCTGAGAACTTGCTGATAAATGCCATTTAGACATATTAAATCACCGTAATTTAATATAAAACCAAATTAAATACCGGATCCTAAACATAGTTGTTATTATAGACCACTGGCTAAGTACTTGCTTATGTGCATGGACAGAAATTTCCAAGTTTTAAAAAGATGTTTGCTCACCAAAACTGTATTTGAACTAGAGAACAGGAATTTCACATATTAGGCAATTCTAATCCTATAATCCTCAAGTATTTGAAATGAGTGAAGTACAAAACGAGTCACAAGACTGACTGTATCTAATACATGCAAGATGATTTTGCTGACGATTCATTCATTCAACAAATGTGTAATAAGCACCTAATACAGCTAAGGTATTATTGTAGGTGCTAAAGAAATAAAGGTAAACAAGACAAAATTCTCATCCTTTGAATCAGACAGTCAAGTAAGGATGGGGGTTTAGCAGAAAACAAAGCAACACAGCCATCATTCATTTAATCTACTGGACAAATATTTCTTATCAAGGCAAGTGAGGCCTTAAGATGTTCATGTGGAAAAATATCATTCAAGAACCATTTATTGTTCACTGACTATTTGCACAGATCTGGGTCACTTGTCTCTAGGAATATGAGGAACATCAAGATACTGCCCCTGCCTTCCAGAAGCCCCAACTTTCATTGAGGAAGGAAGGACAACATACATGAATTAAAAACAAAATTCATCAACACTAAAAACAAATTCAATGAGAATTCTGAAAAGAGAATGCCACAAAGGCCTGGAGTGGGCAAATGAGTTGAGAAGGAGAAGAATGGGGTGCTGAGTCTCAAAGAATGAGAAGTCACTGGGTGAGGCAGAAGGGCAGAGAGCATTCCTGGAAAGAACAAGAGGCAAGGAAAAAAGATTGTACATTGTGGCACATATAGTGGTGAGGATACATGGGTCATCTAGGGTGGCAGCTTCACCCTGGAAACAGAAAAAAAACATGTGGGCAGTTTCTGAGGAACTCAAAGGATGGGCTAAGGAATATTCATTATAGAAATCGGAGCCTCTGCCAAAGTCTTTGAGCAAAACAGACTCTGGCCATACGTGTGGAATATTAACAATGATCTACCCTTAGTAGCTTACAACACAGAAGCCGAGTAAAGTTCACATATGCACCATACCCTGGAAGAGCAAAAGATGAAGAAGAGCAAGTAAAGGTCAGAGTGTTGCTCTCCACAGGCTCTCTGAGGCCATGG